CCATCACTAATATGTCCTATAAAAGCACACCACACTATCCAGTGACCTTATTAGCTGAGAATTGTTCGAGCCTTAATATTTCTGTTTTCTGCTATATCAAAAACTGAGGTCTTTGTTTTGCAAGAGCGACTTGGGTCTGTGCCGGTTCAGCATGTGCAAGATTGACTAACTGCTATTAGTGCTGCAGTTTCCATATACCCTTAATAAATGGACACATTGTGCACATTGCATGCAGCTTCAGTGAGTCATATAGCTGTTGCTGAGCAACATGACTTGGTCTGTAGGAGTCCTCAACCTGCCAAATATTGAATTTCTTCCTAGACTAACAATCACCACATATATTAACGTTTCTGTTCATATTTTAAAAGTATATATTCAACAAGCTGAACATAACATAGGGGGACATGCTGGCTCAGTGGGAAACACTGTTACTTCACCCCCCCCCCAGCTGGGGGCTCGAGTTCCTGCCTCCGTTCTGTGCTCCTCGTGTGCTGTGTGGGTTTCCTGTACTCTGTCTTCCTTCTCCAGTCTAAAGACATGCAGCCCGGTTAACTGGCATTTCTAAATTGCTTGTGTTTGTGAGTATGTGCATATAGGGGTCATGTGATGCACTGGCATTGCCATTTGGGTATACCCCCCCCTCCCCCAATGATGGATGTTTAAACGATTGACAGTTTGAGGTGAAAGTCCAGTGGGAAGCACCTATAAAATATTCAAAAACCTTGTCCATAAACCATCCATCCACTTTCTGAGACCGCTTGTCCTATTCAGGGTCACGGGGCATCCAGAGAAACTCTGAAGGAAACCCCACACCAACAAATGGAACCATGAGAGAGACTCGAACCTTGGTCCCAGCAATCTGAAACAGTACCACCCCACCATCCATTGTTCCTGAACCAAAAGGGTTTCTCTTTAAATAAAAACAGGAACAAACGAAGAACAACTGTTATAGGACTAATATTATTAATATTATATCGCTTTATTGTAATTAAATCATACCATCTCTTTATGTGGGTTGGCTATAATAAGTTCACATTAGTGGTGCTCATCACCTTTCATTGATATACAGTACCAGTCAAACGTCTGGACACGCCAAGCCGCCTACAAAGGAGGGTGATGGAATGCCGCATCATGACCTGGCCACCTGACCTAAACACAGTAGAAATGTCTTTGGAGGAGTTTGGCCAGGGAGTGAAGGGAAAGCGGCCAATGAGTGCTCAGCATATATGGAACCTCCTTCAGGACAGCTGGCAGAGCATCCCAGGAGGCCACCTCATGGAACTGTCATATAGGAGAAAGTAGGGCCAGTCAGTCCCTGGACCAATTGGGTTTAAGGGCCTTGCTCAAGGGCCCAATGGTGGGATCACTCTGCTGACCGTGGGATTTTAACCAGCAACCTTCTGAGTTCCAACCCACAGAGCTACACCACCACCACCCTCCACAGAAAATTAATTTTATTATGTTTAATACTTTTTTGGTCAGTGCATAATTCCATCGATGTTATTTTACAGTTTTGATGTCTTTATAATGATTCTAAAATGTAGAGCATAGTACAAACAAACCTTTCGAGGGATAGGTGTGTCCAAACTTTTAACAGGCACCATATTTTAAATCTAGGAAAACTCCCCCAATGTGTTTTAGGATGAACTGTTGGAAGATTGTTGGACCAGTGTAGGACTTCGCTTTCATAATGTACTGTATGTTATACTTCATCGCCCTCTATGGGTCATGTGGAGTAAGACACCTCTAATGGTAGCATTTGGATATTTTGATCATTTTTAGATATATTAATATAATTTTAAAATATCTATATTTACTGTGTATGTTTATTTATATATTTGTTTTACTAAATATTTTAATCTTAGGTTTTCCTGATCATGCCTAAGTATCATAAAATGTATGCTGTGGTGATTTACATACATCTTGTCACATCCCGATTGGTCCAATCCTCCTGTGTGCCATGCCCCCTCATTTACCTCATGTGGAATCCTCTTGTTATCAGCTTTTTCTAGATGTGTTTAATTAGTCCAATGTATTTAAGTACTTTTCTGTGAATGTTTCCCGAAGTCCGGTCATTAACGTCGTAACATCGATCCTGTTTGCTAGTCCACAGTCCTGAGTGTGGTCTCCCCCCCCGAATAAACCCTGAGTTCACCCGACTCCCTGGACTGCTGTGCCTGATTCCCTGCTCCATACCTGCATGTCGTGACACATCTATGCTTGTCATTTATTTTTGCAATTAACCCACTGACTGTGAAAATTTTTACAGGTCAGGCCAGGTTGGGGAGCATGCACTGGTGCAGCGCATTTCTGCACCCATCACATGATGAAAAACCTCCGGATGCCAGTTGGTGACCCCCCCAGGCTGACACGTGGTCCTGTCCCACCCTCGAGAAGTGCCCATCTATCTGCCGCAGCCAGGTGTTACGTGGGGGTCCCCTTGGCCTGGTCCAGCCGCTCACGTCCTCAGTACTGAGGATCTTGCGAGCCGGATCACCCTCAGGGAAATGTGCCACATGGCCGTAGTGCCGTAACTGATGCTCCCTCACAATGCAGGTAATGTTCCTCATTCGGGACTCCCTGAGCAACCGCTCATTCGACACAGTCAAACCAATAGTACCCAAGGACTCTCCAAATAGACACACTACCGAAGGAGCCCAGTCTTCGTCTCAGCTCACCTTCGTCCTCTTACAAAGACATTGGGAGTGCCACATACCCCTTTCCAGCGGCCTCATGACCCTCCATGCTCTCCCAAAAACTTTTGTTGGAATAATATTTATACCAACTGAGAAATGATAGGAAACTCTGGGATGGATGGATGGATGGAAAGTCTCTGTATTACTTAGTCCAATGTTTCTCAGCCCAGTTCTCAGGGCCCCCCAGACAGTCCACGTTTTTGCTCCCTCCCAGCTCCCTACCATTCTCCCAATATCTCCTTCACTTCCAGCCAAAGGAGAACCGGTGTCTCTAAATTCCCCATGGAGTGTGAATGTGTGTGCATGTGTGCCGCGATGGCACCCTGTGCTGATCCTTATGTCCTATGCTGTCTGGGATACGCTCCAGGTTCCCCCAAGACAAATGCTCAGAAGATGAATGGATGGATATTTTGTGAGAATATATTTCTACTGGATTGTCATGGACAAATTTGCATATAAACTTCAATGTCATTCCTTGGTTTGTCTGCTTTGTACAGTATCATACAATGCGGGATTGGTGACTGATACAACAGAGACTGAATTTAGACACCACAATAACTATTTAGGTGAAACACAGTGGACACTTGTGCTTAAAAGAGGACTACCCCTTATCTTAGAATGGAATTCACATTTATACTCGAATGTTTTGATTGGGGCCATTAACAGAGAAACTTTGTGTTAAATAATATAAATTGACATAAATTGACTAACATACAGAACTGAATTAGTGTTCAAATTAAATACAAAAAGTTTGAAATACATAAAATATTGCTAGGGATCACCAATTACACAAAGAAATGTGCTTATTTCAAAGTATAAAGCCTGTTTTCTCTCAAAAGAGAGGTTTAAGCCTTTTTGATGCATCGATGAAAACATTTAATTCATTAAATCATTTCCTAGAGTAATTTATGCCTTAAAAAAGGTAAATGATATTTGATACACTGTTGTGGTATTAAGCCTATTATACTTAATCAAAAACAATCAGAATGGCATGTGACATGATAGAACAATAAATTAGCACTACTGGTGTTTTATCACACTTCACAGATTGGTATAACGTGGTTTCATTAAAATTAATTATACTTAACCATTGTCATGATCCGATTGTCTGCTCCTCTCGTGTGCTACGCCCCCTCATCTACCCTGTGTGGATTCCCCGTGTTTACCAGCTTCTTATTGCTGTTATTAGTCCTATGTCTTTAACTCTGCGTTAGGTATGTTTTCCCTTGTCCGGTCATTGACGTCGCTTAACGTTGTGTTGAGTCCTGAGTGTCTTCGCCTTCATTAAATCCCGTGTTTACATGACTTCCCAACTCCTGCGCCTGTTTCCCCGGTCCGTGAGCAATTGTACATGACAATCATGAATGCCCTGGCTGCGTTTGATCCTATTGAGGACTCTATAAATGGTGGTTGCTTAATGGAAGTAAATCGATATCTTCGCAAAAGGTACTGCAAGTTACAGAATTGTCTTATGGAAAAAATGAGTATCAAGTAAGCACCTGAGTACTGAATCTCACAGAAATAAAAACAAAGGATGTTTCCAGCTGTGGCACAAGGTCTCCATCTGGTGGGAGTGATGAGAAATTGCATTATTAACAAAACGTATTTTATTGTACAAATATGCTTTACAGTTTCACGTTTTTTTGTACACATACATATCTACATATCCTGCATCCTTTTACGAAGTCGGAACAACGTATATTCCCATTTTCGTTTTTTTTTTTTTTTGTTCAACTGAACTTCACTTTTAACAGTTGGGTTTGTAATTATGGTCGTTTGGCACTTGAAACTCGCTGTCATATGACGCCGGTCTGTTTCTGAATTTATCATTACCTTACTTAAACTAAAGTTGTCATTCTGACACGATGCATTCAGTCAATTCCCCTGTTGCGCAGAACAGTTTTATTTACAAGCTCCATTTCTTTCATTCTTTTTCCCAGTTTCTGTTTATTGTTTAACAAAAAAACATGAAATTACATAAAGTCTTGAGTCACATATCACAGCTTGTAAACTGCATCGATTAGTGTTGTTTCCGTGTGAAGCTGTAATTTGCGACGTTACTAACACAGTATTATTCGCTAGTGATGTGTATGTAAACCTTACAACTTTCGCTATAGGCAGATATTTACATGCAAAGAAATCTGCACAAAAATGCGGCGCTTTGCTGTTTCTTTCCCACCGTTATTCTTAAGGTCTCGATTTTTTTGCCCGTAGCCATGTTGTGGGCGGGACTACGTTGCCATGGCAGTGACGTCAATATCAGTGTCGGGTAACTAAAGGTCAAACTAAAGACAAGAGAGACGGAAGGAAACAGGAACAGAATGGCGGAGGTGCTTTAAAACTGGACAGCAGAGGCCGGAGGGGGGAAAATGTTTACGATTCAGCTGGTTTTCTGAATTTACTGCAGTTTGGAGTTGGAGGGAGTGGTAAGGATTTAGCAAAGTCTCGTAGGGAAGTTAATTTCCTCGGATTTAGCTAGCTATATAGTTAACTGAGTCGCTAGCTGGACAAGTAAGAATGTTTAAAATAATAACTAAACTTAGTCTGCTGTCAGAGCCAAGTTTTACAGGTTTGGTTTTTCGGATGCTGCAACTTTGGTTCACTCTAAAGGCAGGGCTGGCAGACGGAGCCGGCCCTGATGTTTTAAAGTTAGTTGTGCACGGCTAACCTTGCTAACTAGCGCCAGGTCCTTGTAGTCCTGCCTGTTCTGGCCGGTCACCGCGATCATTCATGCGGCATCCCCCCCCCCCCCCCCAATGTCAGCAAGCCGGCCAGTCACCAGGAACCGCTTTCTTTCCTTTCGGGGTTAGAAATCCGGATTTGAAACGTGTTCTTGGGCGATTTTCTTTTGAATACAGATTTTAATTGCAGATTATACTGCGTTGCATTGCGGGATTGCTGCCTTTTTTGTGTGTTCGGTGATTCGTGCAGGATCTGCCGTGGAAATGCATGACACGGGCCCGTTTTCTTCGATCTAAAGCAGGGATAGCGGTATTAGCAGGAGTTTGCTGCAGCTGGCTGGAGCTGCCGTGTCGAGCTGGCTAGTCGCTTAGCCCAGTCCTCATGTAAATACATACAAAAAGGCGGCGTTTGAAATGTTACTATCCTCCTTGCGGTATCTTAGAGGGAAAACGTTTGTAATCTCGCCCGAACTCCGGGTTTGTGTTGACGCTTGGCTCCTTGCTCTTCATCCTACGGTGCTCATGTCGCTTAACTAAACTTACCGAGTTAGTACCTCGGGCTTCTCTCTGTTTAGATCACCAGCTAGTCGGAGACGTACTGGTAACTAGTCGTTATCCCACGTTTAAACGCCGTTTTGTGACAAGTTTCTATAAGTTTAAGATGACCTGCTAGGGGACAGGCTGCCTCCATCGAGGGCAATGTCACTCCAATGACGAACTGCGACCCTGCGCCGCTTCGCTGCCGTTATTTACCAACTTATTTACAATAATTGTCATTTAAGCTTGCCGCGGTGTATTGCGTGTATATTTATGAAAATGTACGCGAGGTTACGGGCCGCTAAGTGTAAGCTTTTCGCGAAGCCGCGTGCTGTACAGGGTTAATAGGAATGTGGCATAAATAATAAACCAGGGTATTATAAAGATATTGAGGACGTAGAATATATTCTTGTATATTAATAATGTTCTCTGTGAAATACATATGTTGGAAATCTCTTAAGTCAGGGCTCAAGGTCGATGGTTGAGCATATTGCATGGTACGTTTAGGCCCTGTGTTCTCTGTTTTTTGTTCGGGATTGTATACTTTAGCAAAGGGCATCTGGTTAATACCTCATTTCCTTAATCTTTATTTGAAGAGTTTGCATGGGGGTCAGTGTCAGGCTCCCCGTGCTTTCCCTGCATTTTCCCACAAAACAAGCCCTTTTTTTCTGATATATGTGAAACACTTGGTGACCGATGAGGAGCTGGGGCACCTTTCTGAGCTGACTCACCTCATTACAGCTTTATTAAAGCATGGCATCTTAACTACTTCTAGTAAGAAAGATTTGTACTTTATTAACACGGAAAAAAATGTATCTGTTAAGCCTGTACCAGACTGCCAAAAGTAATTTATATGAATGACATTATTTGCCAGGTATTTTAATCTTTGAGCAAATTACCATAGACCAATTGAGAAGTTTTGTGCTTTTGTGAAAAGACTTGAAGTCTTTGCAATTTTAAGCTCTTTTCTCCAGGTTTGTGAAAATGTCGGTCGTGTTTATTGCAGGGTATGATCTGTGGATGGTTTTAAGTCTCATATGTCCTTTTTCGTCCTTCAGGACAGCTAAGTGGCCTCCAACAAATTGTGTTTTTTTTTTTTTTGTTCCCTCCGTTGCTGGTGCCCTTTTGCATTGCCAATTCTGCATTGGTTAATACTCACTCTTCCGACGCAGGCTCTGACATCAAGGTTAGGCAGAGGAGAGATGTTTATGCATACCAAGGCGATCACTCCCCATGCCTGATGAAGTAGCTGATTGAATTCCTAGTTTAAAGGAGTGTAGCACTGAGGAGATGGGAGTTCACTTTAAACATTATTAAAGATGCTCTGTTCTTTACAGTTGGCCAGTTGTATAGCAGTTTCCATATTTAACAGTATTGCGCTGTGCAACTGCTCATTAAATATATAACAAGACCTTCAGGGCCTGAATTTTTCTCTTTTTTTTTTTTTTTTCTTTTTTTGCTACTCCAGTGAAAGAGGTTGTTGAGCTTGAATAATACCTTGGTGTCCAGGCTTTTTGTGTAGTTGCATGTTGTGTATGTTATAAAAGTAGAAAATGAGCCAAATTGTTGGTTTTAAACTGATCATTAAGCTCACACAGGGCCTGGTTATCCGAATAATGCCTGTGTGTGTGTGTGTGTGTGTGTGTGTGTGTGTGTATATATATATATATATATATATATATATGTGTGTGTGTGTGTGTGTGTGTGTGTGTGTGTGTGTGTGTGTATATATT